ACAAGTAATAAAATGGACTAAACTATAGCTGAACTGAACAGAAATAAATAGAAATTTTATCTTTATTAAAGATAAAATTACTATTTGTTTATTTCTATGATATGCTCTAAATATTAAAAGTAAATTCCCTTTTGAAAATAACTCAAAAGAAAATAACAACAAATAATAAATTTAAACTGTAGCTTAATAATCACTATATTGTTATAAGTGACAAAAATTGTTAATAATAATAGTTAAAAGTCCCTTTAATATCATACTTAACCTCCAATGTTAACATATCATTAATTGTAATTTATGTTTTAGCTTTAATAAAATTTAAACAAATGACACTTTTATCACATCTAAAATATTTAAGAAATATGATTATTGTGTAATAAAAAGATTTTTTATCAGAATTTTTCTTAATTTGAAATTTTATAGTATCACAAACGATGGCATATTCTAAATTTTAAAATTGAACAAACAATATAAGCAAAATATTATAATATGGCAGACATTAATCTTAAAAAAACAATGTTTTTAATAATAGTGTAGTCTGTAAAATTTAACAGAAAATCTTTGTTAATTCTTATACTGCATAACGGCAAAAATTCTAAATAATGTATACAAATTACAGAGTATGAAATAAATTAAAATAACTTAGTTCATTGACTTGTGAGTTAAGGTTATTGCATGATTTGCTCTGAAAAAAAATATAATTTTTCTCCATATTTTTAGTATAATTTTCCAAATTAATATGTAATGCGTCATCGAAAACTGTTACAAATAGTTTTCTAATACTGTACTTCAATAACAACAATATTTACATATTAGCAAAACAATCTTATAATCATATAAGGTTATAGACTAAGTTTTTAATATATACAATTAGAAATTATCTAAATACAACTTAATATTTGAAAAATATTTTAAAATTTTCTTATGCAAAATTATATTGAGAAGAAACATGTTTTATAGTTAATATACAGTAGTACCTCAGGATACGAAATTAATCCATTCCGAAACTGAGATTGTATCATGAAAATGTCGTAAGATGAATCATTTTTCCCCATACGATTACATGTAAAACCAAATAATCCATTCCAACACAAAAAACACACTCAAATTAAAGCTAAGTAGTACATTGAAAAAAAATAACTTTAGTAAGGAAAACACTGAAAAATGTATTTTGTAGTTGTAAATGTATAAATAACCATAATAGAATAATAATTGATAAAGAAATGCAGTTTTATTTACACTTTACCTTTGAGAATAGACAATGGTGGAGGTGTAAACTGGTGGCGGAGGAGAGGGAGAAGGGAAATAATACTAAAACTTAACTTGCATAACANTCCCTTGAAGTCAGCACTTGTTTCATGTTTGTGAATGCAGTCCTTGCAATTCCAATCCTTCTTCCAATTTCCTTATCACTCCTTCCATCATCTGTAATCATATATCCCAGATAGACATAACTTTTGACCTGCTCCAGTTTACTGTTTCTGATTTTAATATTTAATCTTGGAGTTTCTTTTTCATTGGAAATGATCATAGTTTTGGTCTTTTTGCAGTTCAGTGTTAGTCCGAGTTGATTGCTCAAGTTTGTAATTTCCTCAAATCAGTATCATTAGATCTCCTTCACTTTCTGCCAATAGCACAGTGTCATCAGCATACCTAAGATTATTGAAATTTCTGCCCCCTATGTTAACTCCTTTTAGATCTTTCACCTGAACCCTGTCAGTCTTTAGCCAGTAATAAATAATAAATTTTTAATAAATAATCAATGTGGTTTTATTTCTATTACATATCGTTACTTTTTGTTTTTTGTCTTTGTGCACATTCTGATGTTCCATCACATGAGGGGCATTGAAGTTGGTAATGGCATTTTTTTTTGCTATTGTTTGCAACTTTTATAAACTTTTACAATTAGTTCTCCAAAAAATGTGTCCAAAACAATATTAAATCTAGCAGTGGAGATAAATGTAAGAAGTCTGGTTATTGTACTGTGGAAAGTAAATTTGACATTATAAAACTAAGTGCATTAGGTGAAAAAAAAAACTGAATTTGAAACACCGCTACTAAGCAGTAGTGAGCAGGTAAATGAGCATAATGTATTCTATTAAGTATATTGAAAGATCAAACACTAACAATAAGTGATTATTCTGTGTACAAGTGTACTTTGTAGGTTAGTTTTCTTATTTTGACTTATGATAAAATCTCAGAAACCTAACCTGTTTGCAAGTATGGGAGCACCTGTACAGCATCTAAACATTTTAGGGTCATTAATCAAAAACTTATGACTTTTGTAATACAATCTGTTAAGTTATTTCGATTACATACTGTGCAATTAAGATCAGGAACATATAACCATCTCACTAGAGAAATTTAATACCTCTCTCTAGTGAGATTGGAATATGAAGTTTTGGAATTTTAATGAGTTAAATACAAATGAACTTTATCTGCAATGAAAAATAGATTTTTACACTAATGTAGTACCATGCAAAAATTTTCTTGTGGTATCATTCTGATTAATGATATATCAAATAATATGTCATATCTAGAAAAAGAACTTCATGAGTTACCTTCAATATGGCTTCCACAAGGGGAAAAGCACAGTTGATGTCCTAGCTAATATAATAGCCTATATAAAATGTGCAAAGGATAATAATCAACAGACAATGATAGTATCCATTGATTTCAAGGATCCTTTGATCACACTTGGTGCCAGTCATGTGTGTTCATCTAATACAGGCAAAATGACAAATAAACATTTTCAATCTGTTAAACAGCTACATTTGCGATAGGAAGGTTCAAATCATCAATAATATGACTATCCTCCATGAAATGGAAATCACAAGGGGATGCAAGCAGAGTTCCAAGGCCAGACTATACTTCTGGAATGTACTGTACAATAGCATATTCCAGCTGAGTGGTAATGCTCCTAAGGAGCTGAAACCATTAATCCAGGGATATGCTAATGACACCACCATTCTGTTGTCACATACCAATCAAGATACCCTTCAGCATCACATGAACAACCTTGTGACCAACCTCTACAAATTGGTCTAAAAGCAAAAACTAAAAATCAATTTAAATAAATGCCAATATATTATGTTTCCTCAGGGGAACCTCTTACCAGAAAGCCCTCCACTTCTATTAATGGCTCAAGGATTCAACATTCCAATACAATCAAGTACCTAGGGCTTATCCTTGATCCACAAGCTTTCATGGACTGATCACATACATTACAAGATGATCTTCTAATGCCTTAATCATCTATGACAAGATGATTAAGGCATTTCATTCCCTCAAATCCATTTTCAGGAATAGCTAGGGCTTGGGTCCCAGGGCCAGTAAGCTCATCTACTGGAGGCTACTGCTCCAGTTAGGTGTGAGATTTGGGGCAAGGCTGCTGAAAAAATCAAGAACAAAAGGAAATTAAGATCAATCCAACATGCTGCAGCAATTACTATTGCCAAAAGCTACAAGACAGCATCTACTGATGCTCTCCTCACTATCATTGGTCTCACCCTCATCAATATAATTATTAGGGAGAAAATGTGGAAGTACTTCTTAAATTCCTTAACTAAATCCTCTTCCTCCTCCAATATCAAAATAATTCATCCTGACAACCCCCACCTATGTTAAAAAACTAACAGCTGACATCTCTAAGTATGGGTTAGACTGGAACTACGATCCACACTCTTTCCACCCAGCCTCTATCCTACACTTTCCCATCATCACCAACTCTGGAAACGTTCTTCCTGGAATCATCATTTATACAGATTGGTCCAAATCTAAGGAAGGAGTGGGTTGCTCTTTTGTGGTTATAGACAATCAGAAGTCTATGTTCAACCAAAGCTCCTTCAAGCTGACAAATCACTGCACAAATAATCAGGCAGAGTCCCTTGCAATTATGAAGGTTCTTGATTACATAAACTCATGTAGAAAGGCTCTCTTTGGTAAGAACATTGCTCTCTGGTTGCTCTTCTCAAAATTGAAAGCAGGAACATTAGTCTCTTATTGTCTACAGATCCATTGACCTTATCCTCTCTTGAAGAAAAAGCTCTTCAAGACCATCTTTACATTTATTTCCATTGGATCAAGGGGCACGCCAATGGACCAGGAAATGACACGGCAGATTTACTTGCCAGAAAGGCAATTAACAGGTTAAACTGTACCCACTCTTCCATTCCATTCACCTGGATAGTAACAATTCTTAAAAGCAGAATCCACCAAAAGGTAGAAAACTGAATGGGACAATAGCACCACTGGTAGATTAACTTACCAATTCATGCCAGATGTCTTAACAGCTAGGAAGATTAACCACTTCTCTCCCTCCTTCTCTCACCCACATAATGACTGGCCATGGCAATTTTAATGCCTATCTTCATAGATTCCTCAAGATATGACTACATCAGGCTCAAACTTATCACTGTAACTTACAGTGAGGGGCTCACCTGTCTAATCAATCTACAGATCTCATCAGTAACAAGATTGTCCAAAAGGCATTTTTGAATTTTATAAAGATCAGAAATTTTCAACCATCTAATGCTTATTGCATATCGGTCATAAATTTCCATTCTTCCACTTTCAATCTTTATCTTTCATCTCTATTTCCCATTTCTACTACACTATCAACCAGTTTCCACCTCTTCTCATTCCTCTCCACACTCTTCCAACTTCTTTCATTATGACTACACCCTTTAACCCCTTTCTCTAAATAAATAAATGGACTCTCATCCTACAGACTGATCTACTAGAGTATTTTCTTTGTTAAATAAAATTTATGATACCATATTTTAAATTTTGGAAATTCTTCAAATATGATGATAAAACTGGGTTTAATGTTGTTACAAGTGAGTTTTTCAATATTATGTAGCGTAGTAAAATTGCGAAACCAATAAAAATTTGACATTATTGGGTTATTACATCTAATATTGTTAAATCTAAGTTCAACTGTATATATTTCTATATTAAAATTTTATATCAATTAATATATTTGATAATTTATAAAATTTTACCTCTTTGCACTTAAAGCAATTCGTTTCCAATTCTAAAATCTTTTTTGTATTATTTATAATTTTCTCATTATCTAAACTTAATCGTTTTATTCGAAATGAACCTTGTATTTTGCGACGAATGGAAGACATTTTAGGAGATTTTTGCTTATTAGGAGATGGAGGAGGTGGGAAAACATCCTGAGAAGTATTTATCACAGAGTTTGGATTTGTTTCCATTTTTGTAGCATTTTCAGCTATATGTGTATCTGGAACATATGTTGTAAGAGATGGAGATGAAACTGAAAAATCATACATTAATATTAGCAAATTTTAAATAAAATATTACAAAAATATTATATTTTAACTTACTATCTTTATTAGTCCATGTTACAGAAACTGTATTTTTCATCTGATTTCTTAAATTTTGAAACTTCTCTTGAGCTATAGCTGCTAATGGTTTATGCATATCTTCATTGGCAGAATTATCACCAATTACATCTTGTGGACAATCAATATGTGATATTAGAACAAAATCTTTTTCTTCAAGATAGGATTCATCGTTTAACATTGACGTTTTTGCTAGAAGACCACTTTCAAATTCCTGTGTATCAAAAAGTTTACATAAGTTTTATATATTAATTCAAAACATTAAAAAAAATTTATTTTAAACTCAATTTCATATAATTGATTACAAAATCTTAGATGTGAAGAATGATAAGATAATACATAGAGAGCTGATCATTGGATAAAGAATAAATATGAAATATACTTTTGCTTAATATAATCATTTACTATTTTCATTATCAGGACAAAAATACAATGATAAAAATTCTAAAAATATTAATTTTATATGTGAATTTTAAATTTTACTGTAAGTTATATATTTGGTTCTCTATAGTAATATTTAGTGGAACAAGAAAAAATATTGTTGTAGAGAGATTTATTGTTATAGTGAGAATTTTTTTTAAAAAAAATCACTTTTATCACTTAACATTATTGGACTACAAATAGGGTTATTTCTACAAAGTTAGATAACGTTAGAACAGGGGTCGGCAGTTTGTCAAGTGAGAAGAGCCAAATTGTCATGGAAACAGTATAACGAAAGTATCAGAGAACCACGTATATAGGCACTAAAATGCCAAAAAAACATGCTAAATTTGGCAATCTGCTCAATTGTACTGATGCATACTGATACTAATTAATGTTTGTAGTAAAATCATTGTATTGAGAGTACTATGTTTTGATTCCAAAAGCAAACAATAAATTAAAATTAATTAATATTTAATTTACTGCATTATTTTCATTGTAGAGAAAGGAAAATGTGTATTTTGTGAATATAGTGAAGAAAAAAAAAACTATCACTAAACAGAGATTTATTGCAATAGAGGATATTATTCAATTGGTAAAAGTTTTATATTAAGTTAATACAAATTGCATAGAGAATTTATCATTATGTCAATAATTGATGTACTAAGATTGAACAGTATATATGTTACCGGCCAAACCCGATTTCAGGCTAAACTAGTTTATCCTACGCATGTCAGGATATACTAGTTTAGCCTAGGATAATCTAGTTTGGCCTAAATACTTTAGGCTTAACTAGTTTGACCTAGGCCAAACTGATTTATGTACCACAAATAGGCACCAGTGTAAAAAAAAAATGATTTTGTGTAATTCAAAATACCACCACAGTACACCCGGTGGTTAAAGTGTACCTAGGTAACCCCAATGGCAGTGCTTTGGTTTGGCTAGGTTAACTACATTTTTAGTAGACATTTCCTTTTTTTTCTTTTGTTCAAGGACTACCGTGAATCAATAACTAGTGACGTTAAACAATGGGCGGCCTGCCGGCGGCTCCCCTCCAGAAACAGTCCACCGGGAGCACGAACAGTCTGAAGTGCCGCCATTGGGGTTACCTAGGTACACTTTAACC